CTGTCCCCTACGACCTAGAGCTGTGGTCCTAACTTCTGTGGGCTATCAGAGCCCTTGAGAGCCATGCTTCTCTCTGGAGGATACCAAGAATGATTGCTGGGTTTTATCCCATCTTGCAAACTAAGAACCATTTTTCCAGCTGAAAATTCATGCAACAAAAAATCATAATTACAGTCATCCTCTTGCGATGACAGTTTCCGTGTCGGTAGTGCCTGTGCTCTCCTCTAATACTCACTTGTTCTCATTCACGTGGCTGGCTGCCTGTTCACCCTCACTAGCAACAGAAAACTAATGGTTTGAAGAAAATTTTCTGGGAGGAAAACAATTGACAAAATTTAAAACATTAACTTATTTCCCCTTCTCTGCAGAAGAATTCCATTATTTGATTATTTGCAAAATACCTTTTTACCACATCTGTTGTACATTAAAATTGCAAAATGAACTATTAGGTTTATTCTAATGAGTTTTGCAGAGAGATGAGTGATGAGGTCTTTGATAGAGGGTATTTCCAGCCAGAGGGGGGGGGCTTGCCTGATCTTCTGCTGACACTTATTCTACATAAGTTATTGATGTCAGCATCTCCACAGCAAGACAACATGTCAAGAAGGCCAGGAGATACTTATCAGAAGACAATACAGTTAAAGACAAATGCAGTCAGAAGTCAGCTGACCATCCTCAGGTTAACTAGCTTGACAAGGTGCTGTCCGTGAAGTTCCTGAGTACCTGCCGCTGGGACTCAGTTCTTGGTCCTGGGACTGTCTAGGAAAGGCCAGCACAAAGCCCACCAACCTTCTCTTTACCTTTGGTAACTGGGATTATAAACTTTGGATGCAGGAGGTATGACAATAAGTAATTTAAGAATTCACTTCCCTTTTGCTACCTCACACTCAGTAACTTAATGTGCAAACAATGTACCTGGTTAACGTAGAGCTGATCTCTCATTTAGTAAGTTTCTCCTTTAAAACCTAAATCTGCGTCCTCTCAAGACGGAGATTTGGGGAGAGAGTCAAAGGGGTAGTTTGGAGAATCTTAAAAGAAATGAGGCTTCAGAGCTAGTGGGGACTTCCACCCTTCGGCTGCCTCAAGCGGACCCTTTGTCAGATGGAGTCTTTCAGCCTTCCTGGAACGGCAAGGACATAGAAGTCACCCATCGGCTTACCCAGCCCTTACCTCCCCTCCCTGCAGTCACCACTGAACAGTCCCAGAAGTGACGGTTGCTAATCTCCTGCCTCAGAGAAAATCCCTGCTCTTCCTACTTAATTTTTTAGACCCCTTGATGTGGAGCTCATACGTTATTCTGTTTTTCGTTTTCAGAACAACAAAGAGTTACTGGTACAAAAGTCACTCCCGTGCGTTGTCTGGTTATGTTGTGTTATGACTGGCATCTTTTTCAGGTAACCTGTCATCACCTCCTATTTAGGACAGTCTCAAAGGCCAGTTAGACATAGAGCTTTCAATTTAATTGGGTCAGTGGCTATTCTTTTTCTACTGTGTCTCAGGCAGAATTGAAAGTCCCCATCGCATTAAGGGTCAAAAGTGAATTTACTGAATGTTGGCATCAGTTTTTCCATAGGTCTACTATTTTGTTACTTTAGGAAAATTGCAGCCTGTGTCCTTCTAAACTCAGTGTGACACCTATTCTATATGATAAAGTGTTTGCTCAGATGTCTACATAGCAAATACAGATTTTGACACCTAATTCCAACATGTGGAGGGGTTTTCCCACATCACCAATTTTTGGACACCAGCTGACTGTCTTACAGTTCAGCTCAATTCTGATATTGTCTCCTGGGAGAGAGCATTGGACCCCCAGGTTCAGGGCTCAGGCCCACAAAACTGCCCCTTTCCCAGAACCTCAGATGCCAATTGCAATCCCAGGTTGTCACCTGTGTTTCTGACTCGCTATAAATCAGAGATTCCTATGAACCCTCCCCCTCCTTAGGCTTGATTAATTTGTTAGAGAGGTTCAGAGAGCTCAGAGAAATATTTTACTAGGTTACCTGTTTATTATAAAAGGCTGTAAGTCAGGAACATCCAGGTGTTAGAGGTGCATGGGGCAAGCAGCTTTTCCACGCTCTTCCCAAGCACGCTGCTCTGCTGCTCTGCCCCCGATCTCCAGGTGTTCACCAGCCCGGAAGCGCTGCGAACCTGTCCTTTTAGTCTTTTATGAAGGCTTCACTACACAGGCATGACTGATCTAGTCATTAGCTATTGGTGATTAATGCAACCTCCAGCCGTTCTCTCCTCCCTGGATGTGGCAGGGTAGGAATGACAAGTTCCAGCTCTGCAAACGGTCAGTTCTCCAGGCAACCAGCTCCCATTCTTAGGAGGGCCAGAAGTCACCTCATTAAAAAGACACTTTTGTTGCTGTCATCCCTTAGGAAAATTCCAAAGATTTGGGGAGCTCTGTCTCTCCCGAACTGGGGATTGTCTTGCCAATGGGTTTCAGCCCCAGACAAGTTCACTATGGATTCAGTGAGACCGAAAATGACAATGGAATGTTCTTGTGGTGAAAGGGTTTATACCCAACTTTATTCCCACGGTGGCAGGTCAATCACTGGAATCCTGTCCACTCAGAGCGAGCCTGCAGGCAGCAAGCCAGTCTTTGCCTCTGGGCCTCTCTGTCCCTGCAGCCGTCTCAGTCTCTGTCCTCGGCGCTGCCACCACTCCAGCCTAGTCTTTCCTCTCTTGCAGCCATACCACTGTGTTGCCCAGAGCACTGGGCAGAGCTCTTTATATAGAATCAATAGCACCGTATTGCCTACATGTGTGTAGTGAGCCAGCTGACCAGGGCCAGGTGAGACTCCTGGTCATAGGTACCCTCACTTTTTCCACAGGGATGAAGATCAAATTCTTGTTATAAATCACAGTATGACCACAAACATGATCTTTTACCACAAGGTCTGTAATTTTTGTGGCAGTCTCCATATCTTAAGTTTATTGCAGCTAGTAGGCCTACAGACTCATTGACTTAAGTGAATGCAAAATATAAAAGTTGAATTATGAAAAAGTAGTAATTTGAGAGTAATTGCTCCCCACCCACACCCTCCCCCAAAGTCCAGAGGTTATAAACAGGTTCTAAGAGTCAGCCAGAGTCAGAAACTGGGTATTAACTAGCGAGAAAGGGCTAAACAGGAGTAAGTTGGGGGAACCAAGTGAAAAATCTAGAGGACATATGGTCTAGGAATCCTGATAGTCTTCTGGTTTTTCTATGACACTGTAGAAAAAATTAAAGATCCTGTGGCCAGGATTCTCACGTGACCCTGGCCCTCTTGCTTACTACACACGTGGGCAATGTTATTACTGACTCTATATAAATAGCTTTGCCCAGTGCTCTGTGCTGCAGGGCTGCAGGAGAGCAGAGGCTGGAGGGGCGGCAGTGCCAAGGACAGAGACTGAGACGGCTGCGGGGGCAGGGAGGCCCAGAGATAGAGACCGCCTTTCTGCACATAGACTTGCTCTGAGTGGACAGGATTCCAGCGCTTGACCTGCCACCGTGGGAATAAAGTTGGGTATAAATCCTTTCACCCCAAGAACATTCCATTGTCATTTTTCGGTCTCACTGAATCCACAGTGAACTTGCCTGGACTGAAACCCATTGGCAAGACAGATACGTTTCCAATTTCTGTATATCATATATATAGTGGAAACTTTACTAATGCATTGAAGAGGCACTCAGAAATGGGGCCAGATACTTTAAATTTTAATGTGACAAACTTGTGTTATTGGAGATCAGCCTATCTGCAGTGCATAACAGGGCCACTTGATTAGGCCAAATTAGAAAAGCAAAATCTTCTGGTCCTTTCTGGAATGTGTACAGCTAGAGCCACGGGGCTCAGGGATTTAGTCTTGGCCCTGCAGCCACTTTTATGTTTTCTCTCTTGGACTAATGAACACTTGGCCCTCCTTCTGTAACTTGGATATACACTTGTAACAGATACTTTGCTAAGCTAGGATTCTCTTTTCTTTCCATGATTACATTACTTAGGGAAAGGACATATTTACCTCTGTACCCCCTAGTACTTGGTACCCTGTAGGTAACTGAATGAATGAATGGAGTATATAATTCTCGGTTACTGCTAACAGTACTCCTATTTTAAACTATCCAAAATAATATAACTGAATAGGATCAGAAAACTAGAAAACCAGTAAAGCCGGCTCTAAAAGGTATTAGTGACTATACTAGCACGTTTCCTAGAGTACAAATGGCCAGTGTTTACCCTTCAAAATAATTTTCCAGCATTTGTTTTTAAATATGGTAAATAATTCCCCCTTTTTCCCTTCTCTCTTGGTTGACCAAAGTATCTATACTTACATGGCTGAAAACAGCCAAGCTCAACCCCCTTGACAAATAAGAATTACAAAGGCAAATTGGTGGAGTGCTGAAGATGAGGTTTAATGTATAAAGAGTGATGAGTAAAGCTCATGGATCAAAAAAAGAAATGTTTGTAAGTTTTGTTAAGATATTTTTTAAACCAGTCTGATTTAGAGAAGACTGCCTAACACTTTAGGAAATGAGTTAAAAAAAAAACAAAACAGGCAAATAAAATCTGGTAAATTAGGATCGTGATGACTTCTACAAAAAACAAAAGAAAAAAAAAAAATCTTGTCATTTCATAAAACGAACACCCCAGCCTATCCCCAAACACCAACAGCCACTTTCACTCAGAGCTCCGAGGTCCGTTGGTCCCCAGCAACTGGTTTCTGCATTTGCTGCAAACCCCTACGTCTGCTGAGAATAACTGCCGTCAGCTGAGTGACCCGCAGCTGCGACTCCAGGTGGGATGACGGTTCCTCCTCTGAAATGACCTATAAACTGAGAGGTACTGAAGCAGGGAATCATGTTTGATCACCTGGTTCAGAGGGAAAGGAAAGGAAAAGGCCAGGGGCTTTGGGTTTTCTGCTGTCTGCCTAAGTGCAGAGGTTTATTAGAAGGGCTTGAGGTATTTTTAAAAGGCTCTGTATCTTTCATTTATATTTTCAAGTAGCAGAGAAATGGCTTTTTTTTTTTTATTACTCGTAACACTTTATTTTTACTTTGTACAAAATACAAAAATGCAAATCCCAAGAGGAGAACAGACCAGTCGTGACAGGCACACCGCACAACATCAAACCTTGTCTAGCAAGACATTAGTTTTTTAAACTTTATTTTAGTGAGTACATGCATTATATAAAACAACAAACACACAAAGAGGCTAGAGAGTTTTGCTATTTCTACCCTCAAAATAGTGCTTAGTATCAAGACTTTGGATGGGACCCAAAAAAAAAAAAAAAAGGAATTAAGAAGGCCAATATTTTATTTTCATAAAAAAGGAAAGCTACCATAAAATGGGTATGTGGTTTTTTTTTTCATCACACTGATTAAATTCTTCTGAAAAGCCACACATATGAATAAAACAAGAATGCTGAACTGGACAGTAAATACTGAAGAGGGCTGTTAACCTGGGTAACTGCTCAGTAGTTTAAAGAATTATTTAGACATTTTGAAGCCCTTCCTCTTCATTTCTCAGCACAGTGTTCCAGCCGTCCTGACCTTTGTTCCCTGTGACACATCTCAGAATATAGACGCTGGCATCTTTGAGTCTCTGTTCCTAAGAACTAGTTTTGAAAAAGAAAGCCATGTACAAAAATATTCAACAGAACTATGAGAGATGTAGGCAAAATGTCTTCTTAGCAAAGCCTTCTTGACTTTGCACGGTTTCTTCTGTGTACTCTTCAGGGCTTGTTTATCTGCCCCATGAATAAGACAGCACCTACAGAATAAAAGGAAGCAATGTATAATTTCGTAAAAACAGTTCTTAAAATAAGATGGAAGACGTATTTAAGGGAAGGCCCCTGGGCATGCTTTAACTATTGCTCTCAAGCAGCGCTGATAGAACTTTCTGCAAAGATGGAAATGGTCTGTATCTTCACTGTCCGATATGGTGGCCACTAGTCCCATGTAGCTACTGAGCCCTTGAATTATGGCTAGTGTGACTAAGAAACTGAGTTGTTAATTATATTTCATTTTAGTTAATTAAAAGTTAAAGTTAAAAAGCCACATGTGACTAGAGGCTCCTGTACTGGGCTGTAGGCTCTGGAGCATGCTAATTATGACATTAAAAATGCAATGAGAGGAAAGGATAAGGAACTGGCTTATGTTGTTGTTTTTTAAAAAAGAATAAGCTAAAATGTATTAGTTTCTACTCTGTCCTAACATGAAGCCAACCTCTGCACAAGGACAATCTTATTTATTCTTCATAATTGTATGAAGAGGTAGGAACCATTGTTATCCTCATTTTAAAGATGAAGCTCAAGGACAGAGCCAAGTCTGAACCCATGACTTAGATCCAAGATGTACTGAATTAACAATTCTCAAGTCATAACAACAGAGGGGCTTACAAAGGGTGGAGACATGTAGCTTCTTACAAAGTTTAACTGCTGCCTTTATAAAAATGTGAAAAAATATCAAGAGATGTCAAAAATGCTCCAAAGGGTGGCAGCGCTGTCACCATGTTAAAAAAACAAAACAAAATCTAAAGTCCTGTCTGTATTTAAAAGATTCCATCACACTCTATAAACACAGCCTTCATTTTTCTATCTCTTCAAGGTGGGTGGTTGGTTACATTATTCCAAGTGTTTCCGGTTGTTGACACAAGGGAAAGGAATTAAGAGGAGCACCGTCGGATTCAGCTACGACGGGCACTATCTTCCTGAAACCTAACAGCGAGTGAGTAATGGAAGAGGGGACTCACTTACCTGTAGGGTTATGTCGGATGAAAAACAGAAACGGTCTGTCTACTATAAACCAGGGAGGCGACGACCTTGCAATTAGAATCGCAGCTGTAAGAGGAAAGGGAAAACGTGCTGTACTCTCAGCGTGAGGCCAGCAAGGCGACCGGTTGGCTGGATCCCTCATGCTGGTTGGAGGATGCACCTCATTCCTGCCCATAGGCTGGCCGTGTTGTAACAGGCCCAGTGGTCACCTGAACACCCACCATGGGTGCAGGCCCTGTATATTTACTGTCTCATTTAGTCGACACAAGCATCATCTTCTTAAATAAATATACTTACTCCTCATAGGGTTTTTATGAGGATTAACTGACATAAAACATATTCCAGCTCTTAAACAGTAAACACCCAATGTATAGTGACTGTTAGCAGCTGTTCTGTATCACACCATCTGCCTTGCTGATGAAGGCCCCAGGTCCTTGTGGTCTATCCAAATCCTTTCTGTGCATCAAGGCCCAGCTTAGTTCTCGACCATTCTGTCTGGGCCATGTCCTGGCAGCTCATCCAGGTTTCCTTCCCATGGGAAGGTAGATAACTCACTTGGGAGTCATCTATATTGCTGTCCAACCCATTCAGTGTAGACACTGGACTTACAAAGCAAACGTCCTTAGTCTTGCACACTTACTCTGCCATGCTTACCGACGTGGCCTCAATTTAAGAAGCTGGTGACACAGCCTTGCAGGAGGGTAGGTACCAGGCATCAGCTGCCCCACCCTTGCTGCAAAGGCCCGGTCCCCTTCCTCGAACCCTGGAAAGTGCTAACAACTTGGACTTGATTCTACAAAGGAAACACTGGCAGCTATGCTGGGGCAAACGATTCAGCCCAGGATTATTAAAAGCAAATCAACAGTGAGTAGGTGTTATGAACGGCATTGTATCCCTTCAAAATTGCCATGTTGAAGCCCTAGCCCCAAATGTGAATGTATTTGGAGACAGGGCCTTTACGGAGATACTGAAGATGGGGCTCTAATCCAATAGGACTGGTGTCCTTATAAGAGAAGGAGACACTAGATGTGTGTACAGAGAAAAGACCATGTGAGGACACAGGGAAAGGCAGCTGTCTGCAAGCCAGAGAGGCCTTAGGAGAAATCAACTCTCCCAACACCCCGATCTTGCTTTTCCAGCCTCCAGAACTCTGAGAAATCAATTTCTGTTGCCTAAGCCAGATCTATTCCAACTTCCTATGGATACTTAGGGGGCATAAAAACCAACTTAAGATTGTTCTGTTTTTTTCTTCATTCTGTAATCCACTGGGGAGAAAGCAGATGTGGATGGTCTAATTTTCAAGGAAGGCTGCATAGTAATCCTGCTGTAACTCAATGGTAGCTTGCTAGTCCTTCACTTTATCCTGGACAGACCTGACTGGCTATTTTCCTATTAGCAGTAGCTATTTTTTTATGTTTCAATCTGAAGACTGGACTTTTCTGCCAAGAAGAAGCCAAAATATGCTTTATCATCCTGAGAGCAGGGGCCAGCAAATACCACCCTCAGGCCAACCCTGAGGGGGGTCTGTGATATACTGAGTTATAAGAAATACATAGTTGCTCATTCACATGGCCAAATATGTATTTCTCATGTATATTTGGTCTTCATCCACAGTTCCTGAAAACACTACAGTCTTAAAAGGTGAAACAGGTATTGTCATGTTAATGAGAGACGTTTTTTGGACCCCCACCCAAGGGCAGGGGCTGGAGGCTCAATCAGCCAATGGCCAGTGATTTAGTCAATCATGAGTATGCATGAAGCCCTCACAAAACCCATGAGCAGAGCTCTCTCTCTCTCTCTCTCTCTCTCTGCCTGTTCTGCTCGGATGGGTCCTGCTTCTTGGTCAGCGAGAGCTTTTATGCTTGGGGAACTAGAATGTCTGCACGTGCCACCGAGCCGGGCCCCAAGCTCCATGAGGGGGAAGCTCCTTTACTTGGGACGGTGCCCTATGTCTCTGTTCATCTGGCTGTTAATTGTATCCTGTACAGTATCCTTTATTAAACTGGTAAACGAAGTGTTTTCCTCAGTTCTGTGAACTGCTCTGGCAAATTAATAGAACCTAAGGGGGAGGTCAGGGGAACCTCCAATCTGTTGTTGGTAGGTTAGAAGCACAGGTTAACTGCCCGGGGTTTGCAACTGGCACTTGGAGTTGGGGGCGGAGGACAACCGTGTAGGACAGAGCCCTTAACCTGGGATCTGGTGTGGTCTCTGGGCAGATAGCATCAGAATTGAGTTCTCCAACACCCTGCTTGTGTTTGAGAATTGCTTAGTGTAATGTAAATATGTGTGGGAAGACCCCCTCCCACATATTTACACACATTGCAATCGGGTACCTGAATGAAGCTATACAACTGTAACTGCTGTGTATAATATTGTTACTGCTATACATATACCTAAGGAAAAAAATACACCATTGCATTTGGTGTTGGGCGAGTAGGAATTACACAGTCAGATCATGTTTTTATAAATGAAGTTCACTGAAACCCAGCTATGCCCATTTGCTTGTATCCTAAGGCTGCTTCCACACTACAGCGGGAGAGCTGAGAAGCTGCAATGAAGACCGTGTGGTCCCCAAAGCAGAAGTTACATACTCTCTAGCTGTCCGGAAGAAGTTTACTGACTCCTGTCCTAGAGGAATTCGTCTCACTGAGATGCTTCCCTTAATGAAACAGACTCTGAGCTTCACGGACAAACATCCTCCGTCTGTCTAAATTCACCATTGTCTCCCGAGGTCGACGCACAGTACCTGGCCAGAAATAGGGTTCCTTATATATTTGACGAGCAGCTGAGTGGACTGGCCACGCCTGCACACCCACAGAACCAGCCCACCCGTGTGACCTGCTGCTTACTCGTTGCTGCTGAAGCTTTGGTTCCATCCTCGCTGATTTCAATTTTTGCTTTTTGCAAGATGTGAGAAACATGAAGGTTCTCTGACCCTGTTTCAAGAAAACAAAACAAAACCAGCATTCATAACTGAGTCCATCCATTTGGCTGGGGAAATAACTTCAAAGCCATGGCAAATTCCAAGTCTTAAAAGGAGTCATGAGACGTGACCTCTTACAGTCCTGGGGACCGAAGATGTAGCAGGAGGGTCACCCGTGGTGAATTTCAGTTTCTGTTAAATGAACTGCGATGTCACGTCAGAGGTGGGAGTCCTAGACCCCAAATGTATTCCTGCCTCTCAACGCAACTCTGACCACTAAGAGCTTTATACAAAAATAAAAAGAGAAGAGCTTTCAAAAAGAAGCCCAGTTTTCCAGAGGAAGCAAGCCAACAATGTTATTTTTCAATTACAGAATGTCAGTCAAATACAGGAAGGATTTCAGGTGACATTTACAGATCGGGAAACTGAGGCCCAGAGTGTCAAGAACCCTGCCCATGAATCACATGGCTGGTTAGTGACAGAGAAAGTGGGGGCTTTTCACAACAAAAGCCACTGATCTCTGGGGCATATCCATGAGAGAAGAGTGTTGAGCGTGAGAAGGGTTTAGACTCTGGCCAGGTTCAGAAATGCAACTGTGCCTCTGGGACCTTCTCACAAATTCACTTTCCTTCTCAGCAAACCCTTACTGTTCCAGCAATACGCAGTGGGTGTAGCATTCAAGGGGCAGGCAAACAGAAGTCACTGTTAGCCTTGAGGAGACACAGGTCTGGATGCAAGAAGAAACGTATTTACTGTGTGTGGATAAACTGAAGGTTCCTGTGGCCCGGATTCTCACCTGGCCCTGGTCAGTTAAGCTCACTACACATGTGTGGGCAATACATTGTTATTGACTCTATATAAAGAGCTCTGCCCAGTGCTCTGGGCCACACGGTGGCATAGCCTGCAAGGCTGCACGAGAGCAGAGGCTGGAGTGGTGGCAGCACCGAGGACAGAGACTGAGATGGCTGTCGGGACAGAGAGGCCCAGAGGCAGAGACCGGCTTGGTGCCTGCAGACTCGCTCTGAGTGGATGGGAGTTTAGTGATTGACCTGCCACCGTGGAAATAAAGTTGGATATAACCCTTTCACCCAAGAACATTCTACTGTCATTTCTTTGGTCACATTGAATCCGTAGTGAACTTGCCTGGGGCTGAAACCCACAGGCAAGACCCTGTGTCATCTGGTTTTAATTTTCTCTCCTGAAGCTTGGCTCTCATATGACTGATGGGGAATGAAAGGCCATTTCAGGCCCAGCATCTGCAGGGTTAAACAGCACCTCTCAGGAGCATTTTGGTGCCTGGTCCTCTCTTGAACACCTGTGAACTTCCTCAGAACACTATCTAGTGTTTAGGCTACACAGGATAACCCTGAAGGACAGTGCAGGGTAAAACAATGCTCTCAAAACTTTATTGGGCTGAGGAATCTTGTTAAAATGGATTTGGGTTCAGTCGGTCTGAGTCTGACTCAAGATCCTGCAGTTCAACTATGTTTTCGGGTGACACTAATGCTGCTGGTCCTGGGATAAGAGTCTGGATAGCAGGGGATGAAAGAGCATCAGAACACACATGGAGCTGCAGTCTCACCAGGGGAGTCCTGTTTGGCCCCAGGACAGGTATCCGGGTATTCCCCTGTAGGCAGCTGACATTGGTAGTGAACTACTTTCTATACCTCAAGGGGAAAAATACAAAGTGGAGAACAAACAATGCTTAATGCATTACTTTTCTTTGGAAGAAGGTTACTGTGCTCTGAATTAAAAAGACAAGGATTAACCATCAACATAACTCTAGGAAAAGGTATATATAGTGGCAAACAAAGGGATAAACACCAGTTGTGTCCTAGACGTTCTGGCAGAGAAAAGTTCTAATCAGACTCCTTTGTGTTTATATTATTTCAGATTAGTGGGCATGAAATATCTGAATATAATAGTGCATGCCTGCTGTTGTTTGGTGGAAGTAAGCAAGTATTTGAGAGCTCAAAAACCTGGATTTTTTCATAGACAGGTGTTAAGTTTGCATTTGAAAAAAAGAGACTATAAATAAGAGCCAAATTTTAAGGTACTAAAGACAATACATGAAGTGCTTCTTTAACTACGTAGAATCACTTGGGCTTCACACGAAATGTACCTGTGAAACATAGGGATGAATGACATGCTGATTTAAATGATGAAGGGTCAGTAGCATCATTTGGTGATGTATCAGATTAGACCTTGGAGACTTTTAGGGCAACACATTCCTAATTTGGACCTTTTCTCTCTGAACAAATCAGAGACTCAATATGTAACAGTCTTTAAGTTTAAATGAACATACTTGTAATTTTTGTAAAGTTTGCCTTTGATGAATCAAACATCTCGGTGATGCCAAGAACTTTCAATGGCTCCTTCAAATCTGTTTGTGCTACAGCTGTGAACCTAGCGTGGAAGCAGAAAATGGGGCAAAAATCATTATACTCTGAATGATATAAAGTGACATAATCAGTGCCAGTGGAACAATGTTTACAAACCAATCTTTTTTTTAAGTATGCTCCGAACATCAACCTAAATTTTATCATAAATTTTAATTCCAGGATTTAAGTACCAGGTAAATAGAGAACAGCTCATCTCTCAAACTCTGAGCTGGCAAAATGAGCAACAAATAGAAATAGTAAATGGGGTGTTCTCACCCTCATATGCAACAGGGCCCCCCATTCCAGTGCTGAGGGAGAGAGCTACAGAAGTATTTTGATGCTAATGGAGATATGCAGGGTATTAACAAGCCCTGGGAACTCTGGAATATCTGTAGGTTTTTTTCCATATCTAACCAAAGAGCCATAATCTAGCCTGCTGTAAAAACCACCATCCTTACTGGGATGGCAGATGGTCAAAAGAGGAGACACATTCCTGTTAGCTCATGCTGAGATTTTTGAAAGCGTATTACTGTCAAAACAGGAGAAAACATTAGAAATAGGTGACATGGTATTATGTGGGGTATAGTATGAGCTTTTCGGATATTTATGGGCTACCTGGTCTCAGGGTTATACATATGAAAATGTTAGTTATTAAACCAATCATCATAGAATGTTTTGCCAGGTTTTATCTCATCCTGTGGGCAAGCAACAAGGGTAGGTCAGAAGATCTTTAATACAGGCTATAAGGTATTTTAACATTATAATTATAATTGTATGTATAATTGTATATAGCATATAATATGTACACAATATGTATAATTGTATAACTGTATAATTATATGTATACCTACAATGTCACCATTTTATTTATATCAAGCATTGCCTACATGAAGGCTTATTTTTATAATAAAAACAATCTTGGGAGGATTATTAATATTTATTATGAATGGGTTTCTCTCTTAACTCAGTGACTGGAGAATTAAAAACTATTCAAAGTGGAAGGTATCTTCCCAACCCCTGAGGCCTGGAAGGTTACCAGCCCTGGACACTGGCAGAACAGTAATACTGAAAAGTTCCTAGAAAGGGGACATTCATTATTTCCTTCACAGATCTGGGCAGAGCATTCTCTGACCTGTTAGAAATTTATGATTCAGACAGAATTTGGGATTACTTTTCTCTTGGTTTTAAGTCATAACAACTCAAATTCCATTTATATCATACCATACTTGTAGGGTGTAATAGAGAAATTCCCCTAAATACTAATGTAATAATTCTGCCTGAGTGGCTTTAAAATACTTCCTTACCCCCTAGCTTTTGGACCTGATCTTTAGCAACTTCCAACTAAAACTTAACAAGCAACCAAAATGAAACTCCTTATCAAAACACACAAAGCACTACCAACTCGACTGTACTTTCATCAGACTACATGACCATATGCATGTGTCTTTTAATTTTGAACAGAATTAAATTTTAAAAGCCCTTGACGTAGCATAAAGAGTTTGAGGTCTTGTGGAGGAGGCTCGGAGACCAATCTGTTTCCTCCCCATCTCCACTCTATCCTGCAGTATAAGCAAAAAAGGAAAAAACTTCTATAAAGCTACAGCCTGTATTTCCACCATGCAATTTCTGCAAAATAAACAGGCCTTCTGATGCGTCACATTCTGGCCTCCTGCTGACTGTTATCTGACACACAGGGATTGAGCACTCATTTCTTTTTGAGGAAGGGAGCTACTTACTTGGGCAGGATGACCTGTACCCTCTTGGGCACCATGGCGCTCATCAAGCTGTCTATGGTCTTGGTGCTGATGTGAGGGATGATGGCCGACAGCGGGGTGGAGCTCTCGGTGGGCAGCACAACCAGCATGCTGATGCTTTCCCCGTGGTAGGGCAGTTCAATGAAGCTGTACCATATATCATTGGGGGTGCTTGTGGACCCTAAAGAAATCAGATGCAGGTTCAGTGTATCCTGGATGACTTCCAGAAGTGGCCTGAATGGTTGCTGATCACCAGAGAAGAGTGGGAAGAGAACAATTCAGTTTGAGAACGTCTCTTTTCTTTCCTAAATACAGTTTCCTTAGAAGGACAAAGATAAGGACAATTATTTTCTCCTTCTCTGGTAAAAGAATTCTTTCTTCAGTCTAGACATCTCTGAAAGCATGCCCTGGGGTGTCACCACAATTACACTAATTTTGCTGAGTAGAATTTAACTAGCTCATAATGCTCTCAGAATAGAGAGCTTTGCAAGAAGCTGACCTCATTGAATAAAAGAATGAATTTGAACTGCCTTAGAATGATTCTTTTGGCTGAGCCTATGTGAGCTGGTGACGAGAAGGGAGGGAGGGAAAACACTTCCGCCATTTAGGGTCCATTATGTGCCAGGCCCACACCGACCACTTGGACACGTTCAGAATCTCCAGCACCCCACAAGGCAAGTATACAAAGTCCTATTTTTCAATGGGGAAATTCTCTACAATACAGAAATGAAGTCACTTCTCAGGAGACAGACACAAGGCTAGGAAGTGAAGGCCAGGATTCAGACTATGTCTAACGTTTAACTACATCTAACTTATATGTCTCGGAAGCACTGGACACTCCATTCCTCTTGCAGATTCATAATATACATCAGGACAATAAGGGCTCTGAGACATTCTGAAGTAAAACTGTTGAACTCTAGCTATACCAGGTTTCCCAAACTAATGTGATCCTTCTACGCCATGTAAAGTATTCGGATCACGTAGCAACTGAGCCGCACAACTGAACATGGACCCATCAGCGGGGATGAAAACCCAGTCAAGAACAGTGCCAGCTAGGAGTCCAGCTCGTGGGCCATCAACCCCCTGGGGAAAGGGTCTTCCTCAGAGCACGCCTTAGGATCCTGGGAACCCTTTACATTCAGCATGTAATGAGTTGTAAAAGTTAACTGTGTGAACAGAAAAATCAGCATTTCTAGATTTATAGTGGATCTCTGAGATGTTTTATTAAGCACTTCAAACGTTTTGAGAACTGGGTGACCCTGGTGAGGTACTTAACTTCTGTGTGCCTCCTGGTATGGAGAATGGAGACACCAGAGGTGTTAAAAGTGTGTACTTCACATGATTGCTGTGATGATTAAATGAGAATAAATATATAGGGTGCTCAGCAGGGCCTGGCTGGTGGGAACCCAGTGAAGGCTGGACCCCTCTTTCTCCTCCTCTAATAACCTGGAAGGACAAGGTATCTAACACAGAGAAAAGGGTGAGTTTCTCTCATGATTTTTACTGTCTTTTCTTCGGGATGGCCTCTGCCAATCACTGTACTTGAGACAGGGAACCTCAGAGGCCAGTTCTCCACACATGGGGTTGGGAGGGAGGGGGAGAGGGTGCGAGAGATAGTGTTTTGCCTTTGTTACATAATAAACACTTTAAGCTATAAAACATGATAAAAAAAATAGTGAGGCTATTGGACTATAGGACACTACAGGGTGACATTACAGTTTCTCCTTAAGGAAGAAATATGGGGGCAATTTGTGGGGCGTTCAGTACACCTGCATGGCTACTCAGCAGCCTGCAGCCTAGCTCAGCTCCGATGCACATGAACTCTCGCTCCAGCCTGGTTCCATCTCGGGCTGCCTAAGAATCAAAGATGTGATTCTTAATCTTTACTTTTACCCTGCATAATAAAATGGTCTCAGCAGAAACCAAAAACTCAATAGGGAAGTCAGAAAAAAAAAAATCACTTCCTAATGAGCCCTTTAATCCTCAGAGAAAACATTAGTTCCCTACTCTGGCAGAGCTAATTTTTAGAAGCTGTGAAATAGGGAAGTAGTTAATAAATGATTGCACCAGGGCATGAAATAAGGACCTGGAGGCATTCATTAACCATTTCTGGAAATGTTTACTGTTCTGATAAGAAGGATCAGGGTCATGAATAATGAAAAATTAGGAGCTGGGGTTTGTTCCAACAGGGGAGATAGCTTCAACATCACCAGTTAATCCAGCCTCAACTGGATATATCACTTACTGTACTATAATATGATTAACCACTAACCATTTTGTATCAAGTCACACCTGCCTGAAGATCCATTTCTCCCTGGCCTCGCTTCTGCTTCTGATCACAGAAGCTGATGGCAACTGTCAGCTAGGATGCATCTATATGTACCCTTTCCATGGGGTGGCTTGAGAAGCCAGGAGACACAACAGACAAAATGACTCTTTCCCCAAACGCCCACGCCATCACTATAGAACTGCTTTCGTGTCATGGTTTTATAGAGGACAAGTGCTGAGGTTAATATATATCGAATGTGCAAAGGTAATACCTGGGACCGCACATGTCTAGGTGTAGCTTGGAGACATAAAGGCTAACTTCAAGAGGAAAAAAATTAAATTGGACCACAGGTGCTTCAATGAAGCCAGGTCTAAAAAATAATCACCAGGCTTAGTTTATCTAAGCAGGACAACAGAAAGAGGTCATTTCTTCTTGGTGGTAAAATGGATACATGGTCATTCAGAAATGTTTCAAACTCAAATACAAAGAGTAATCATTTGAAGTATGACCACTGTTAACATTTTATTGAACATCCTCCAAGATGTGTCCCTGCAGACATGTGAATATATAGAAAGTATTTTACATAAATGAGATGAACCAGCATCTGTTGTTCTAAAACTTGTTTTCTGAAATCAACCGTATATTGTATAATCTTTCTGCTTAAGTCTAAATTTACTTATGATGTGTGTTCCATTATATGTATATATCTAACTTCTATTTATTTGCTAGCGTGGGATGATCTTTAGAGCCTAAATTCCTTGGCATGGGAATTCTGGGACAACGGGTCCCAGGAAGTTCTCCAGACCATGGCCCCCTGCCACCAACAGTGCTCAAGGGGGCCCACTTCCATACTAGAGCCATGACTACGCTTTGTCAATCTCTGTAATTTTTTTAAATCTGGCAAATGAAAAAGAAATCTGATTTTGCTTTTATTTGTAATGTGTTAATGTAAGGTAGCTAATGATGAATTGGTATTGCTTTCCCGTGTTAAAGCCTATACGTATTACATATTTTGTGAATTGTCTTTTCATCTTTAAATTTTCAACCTAAAAACTGGTAAGGGTTGTGCACCAATACATAACCTTTGTAAATAATACAAAGATGTGCCGTGAGCTCTTAAAAAATCCTTTCCTCCTCTCTCCTGCCCTTTTTAAAAAATAAAAGTCAGATGTGCTTTTGAACTAAGTGAAAGCACTCAAGGGCTTTTCTGTGGCTGGAAAATTCTAGAACACGGCCTTGCTAAGCATGAACTTACCACACCGGAACACGGAGAGCTGGGCTAGCATCGGCACTTGGTAAGATTTCCCATCAGCTGCCACAAAAGTACGTTTCTTTGTGTTCTCAGGTTGAAACCGTGATCTCCACAATCCCTTAAAGTATACTGCACTGACCAGGACCAGTTCGGTGAGCACACCGTCGATAAGATCTGGGGAGAGCAGATTGTCGATCATACCTATGCAGACAAAAGAACAAACAAGGAAAAAACTCAGGACTGGCAGTCCACGTGCAGGCCAGAGGCAGCTGCTGTGTCACACGGAATGAAAAGTCAAAGGATTTTAAAAATATCTTAAAAAGAAACCTTTTATGACACCCTTTCATACTTCCTTATTTTTTTCTCACTAAAAATTAAAGATGAAAACAAGTTAAAAACCAGAGAACTGAAAACAACTATAGAGATCCTCTCCTTAGGGGGTTACCAAACTTTCCATCTAGAAATTCTTATTAATGAAGTCCCTTATATATCCCATTTTTTAGAAAAGTCCACTCAACCAAGTGAGCTATTCATCTATTTTTTTAACAAAAGTAGCTAGTTATTAGCATAACTGACTAACACAATGTGTGTGGCTGCCAAGAAGTGGTTGTTGTGTTTTGTTTTATCCACTGGGTTGACATAATTCCAGTCAAAATTAAAGGAGCACTTCAATCTGTGCAAGGTTATCAAGGGTAAAGGCCTAATTCCTCTTCAGGTTGCAGAAATGTTGGGCATCAGCTTGGAATTCCCAAGAGCTGGGAGTAAAAATTGGTGTCTATATTTATGGGACATGGATCAAGGAAGGTGCTATTATTACAGAGATTTAAAAAAATGGGGCCTAGAAGAACTAATTTTGAAGGAAAATTCATCCCACAAGATATCCGGGTTCATCTTTTTTTGTGTTGGGAGTTAAGGAACAAACACAGCTATTCTAGAGATTCGTCTAAAATGCTATCTGTGCTTGAAGGTTTGGTTTTCATTAAGGTTGCTTTTGCTCAATCTAAAGATTCAGTGTGTGTGTGTGTGTGTGTGTGTGTGTGCATGTATGACAGATCACTAATATCCAAAGCCATTAAAAATAGTTTACTAATTCACTGTAGTTTTTAGTCCAAGCATCTTTTTTAAAAAAAGGAGTGCATAATATAATTGCAAGTTATAATGCTTTAAATGGTGGGAGTAAAACCAATGGTTTCTGAAGAAGCAAGAATGTCTAATTCATCAGAGAACTTAAGACCTCTTAAATGGTGCTCAAGAAGATACGGATGTAGAGTAAACAAAGGTCTGTGTAAGTCACAGTAAAGGAGCACACCAGACTCCCCTGATCCATGCAGTGCTCAGTGGGGTAACAGATAATGTCATCTCTGCTCTTTACTTACACAAGGGGGCACCCACGCAACCTTGAGTCATGATACAGAAGTAAAATACATAAGCTATAAATAGCCATCATTCACTACAAGGCAGGCCTATGTGAACAGACTGCCTGTGGGAAGGAAGTTAGAACTTTCTGCTCCAGCAATAGCAAGCTTCTTAGAACTGGTTCCTGGGTAGTGAAAGATGTGTCTTGCCTTTGCTTGGAATGCCACCCAGTCCAACCCCTACTTGCCTTTAAGACATAGCTCAATGGCCCCCTCTTCCTTGGAAACTTCTCTGACCCTCCTCCCCATCTTTTAGGAGTTTCTATAAAGCCCAACACTTAGCACCTGTGGTATTTTTTCCAGTGCAATTTAGTGTGTCTGCCTCCCCGAAATGAACCATGAAGGGTCTAAGAGCAAGGACCCTGACATTCTTTTTCTATATATCATGCTTTTCTCCATGTTCACCATACAGTCAGTGCTTAATAAGTGTCTAAAGAAATTTCTTCTGCCCCCCCTTGCCTTTTTTTTTTTTGCTAAATGAGGACTCTGATTGCCACTGGTAGGACTAAGATATAATAAGGGAGCATGAAGAAATAAAGAGAAATGTTAAAGAGAGAAATGTAAGAAATGCATAATTTCAAGGCAAGGAGACACATGGGGGGCCTGCTAGCAACTGCATGCAATAAACATGCATGCATCAGTCCACCCATCCACCCATCTACCCAACCACCCCTCCATTCTTGGATGATTACCTACCATGTGCCAGGTACTTTTAGGTAAGAAAAACAAACGAAAATGAACACTGCTCTCAAAGGACTACGGATTAGAAAGGTGGAGGCTGATAATGACTTAGAGAAGTATAAAGCTGCAATTGTAATAAATACCTTGAGGTGGACATACTAAGGATGTGACACAGGTAAGAAGTGGATCTTATCTGGTCAGAGAGGCCAGGGATGGTTCCCTGAGGAAGTGTTACTGGAGGTAATAGCTATGAAAATAGCTCACACTTGAACATTTGCTAAGTGCTAGGAACTTGGCTAAATGCGTTACACATGTTTACATCCCCATAACAAGATAATGTTGTTCTAACTATCTTAGGAAGTATCACCATTGTATTTCTACTTTGCAGATGAGGACTCGGAGGTACAGGGAGGTTACACAGCTAGTCAGTGGCAGGACTGAGAATCAAACTTACACTTTTAAACTTGTGATATTTATGGGATAGTGTGAAAATAAATAGGCATTACCAAGGGCAAAGGGAAAGGACAGCATTCTAAGGAGCAGGATGCACCTGTGGGGGTCTGTGACAAGAGTGAGAACAGCAAGTAGGAAGGGTGGGACGCAGCCCACGGGGCCGGAGCACAGAGGACGTGGAGGAGAAGCTGAAACTGCAGAGAGGCAGGCAGGGCAGCCGTGGCTGGGCCTTCGCATCCCGAGCACACTGGGAGGGGTCCTTGCGTCTCTGCCCGGGGCCTGCTCACTCTCCAGAGGCCTTCTGAGCTCTCTCAGGCAGACTAGCACCTCTCAGTGGGCAGTTCACCCCAAGGGGGCAGTTGGAAAATACGTGGGAGAGTTTTTGGTTGGGTGGGCAGTGGCCAGAAACACGACATGCCCTGCAATGTCAGGCCCCACACAGCAAAAACTCTTCTGTTTCCTGCTGAACTTTCAAAAGCTCTACTGGGTATTCAATGCTGGTGAGAAATTTGCTTGTCATCATCTGAGCCCAGAACCTCACTCTTTTTTGCCTGGAAACATGAAGGTCTTTTTGGGGGGGCATACTTTTAATGTGCACTGAATTTGCTAGGTATGTGACCACCGTGCAAATCGAGTGCAGGCTCTACTTGTTTCGTCTGGAAATTTACCAAGGGTTCTACACCATTTCAGAAAAAAACTGCATCGCCAGTGGTAGCGCAGCTCGTGGTGTTTGTGTTACCAGCACAACGTGTTGGGAGCAAATCTGTGGGCCTTTAAGCAGATTCGGTCACAAAAGCCTTAAGACAACAGCAACGTTTTGAGTAAAAATCTTTCCTGTAAAATCAGCTAGAAATCTTTCCTGTAAAGTCAGCAACAATGAACCCATCCACGCGTTAGAAACAAGTTTTCCCCTACTACTAAGAAGCACATTTAGTGAACTTCTAGGTTAGAGCTAGGGGTTAATTTACCTAGCAACATTTGCATTTCTAAGTTAGAGTTAGTGGTTAGGCTACCTCACAGCATGTGCCTTTTCTGTCCTTTGTTAAGCAAGAAAACACCTCCCCTGCCCCCAAAATGACAAACTCCCCGCTTCTCTTTCGGGTCCTCCATCCCCGCCGGCACCAACCAAGACCCAATCACCCTTCTACACCTCCCCGCCGGCGCCACCTAAGGTCCAATTATCTCCTGACCCACCCCTTACTTGCTACTTGTATAAATTAAGCCTGTAAACAATAAACTGTGCCAGCTTGATCAGACCTCCTGTCTTGCTGGTCGTTCTTTGTGTCCCTTGCCCCATTCTTTTTTATTTTTCAATTCTCTCCTCCAGGTCGTCGGCCCCCGTTGATAGTCCTGCAGGTCGGGACACAACGTACCTGCCTCGGTCTGCTTTTGCAGCTGTCCGGTCACTATCATTATAAGACTATGACTGCCTGTGGGGTATTCAGGTGTAGGGGTAGCTCAGGGTTTACCTGCACACTACACGCATAAGTCATTTTTGTTCTTTGTAGTACAGTTTGGTATTAATATTGATTTTTAAAAATGTTGTGTAAGTGTGCAGAGGTTCAATGAGCTACGAATCTGATTTCAGGACAGTAAAGTGGGTATTAAAAATCTTTGTTTACCATGAGGAAGTGGATCTGTGGGGTTGAACAGCACTGCTGAATCTCATCACCCTCCCTCCCCGGATGCATAAGCAAGTGATTGTGTCAGTGTGTGTCCAAGTGGTTTGAAAACCATCAAGTGGTATAGTAATGTGACTTACTACAACCAGCATAGGGGTAAAGAAGGAGGCTGGGAGGGGGCACTGGCATGCCAGTCACACAGCCATCTAGCACTGAATGCAGTCAGCTTCCTCCCACTGTTCTTAAGCCTATAGGCTCAGGAAAATAACATTGAACCCCTCACATCTGCTGGTCTCCTCATTGTTTTGTAGTTTCAGGAAGGGTGCCCATTTGCACCAATCAGGATCCTGTTGAGAAGGGGTGCCATGGATTCACCAAAACCACCTGGCTCTCCTCCCCACTCCAGGGCATAGCTGGTCCGCCTCCTCACTAGCCCCTCAATGGTTCTCAGACACTCATATATCTAAGTCTGGTGATGGGCAGTGGAGGCAGACCAGGCGAGAACCCTCAGGGGCTCTGATTCAGTAGACTGGGGACCAGTGATGTGCTTTCTAAATGTCATGTCCCAGGAAATTCTGATGCAGGTGTCCCAGGAACCACTCTTTGAGAAACATGACCCCAAAAAACGGGTTTTCTCATTTGCCTTTGGTCGATTGAGTCTTTGAGTCTAAGACTCTTTTGCTTCCACTCTTGAGACTTTCTCTCTCTCTTCTACTAAAAAAAGGTTCCCAAATCTGTATTTCCTGCCTTAACTTTCCTCTGTGGTTAGAGACTTACCTCTTCTCCTCAACATTTTCACCTGAACCTCCAGTTGATAAATTAGCAGGTTTAAAACACCAATGGTTAGATGTTTTCTCAATTTAATGGGAGCAGAGATGCACATAAATAAGTAATCATAACGCAGCATGGAAAACGCTACGTTGAAGGGGCGCTGGGAGGGCATAATCATAAGGCAGTCACAACCAGAGAGGAGGCACCTACCTCCAGGAGACGACAGAACACAAAGGAGTCAAGGAGAGATCAAGCCACATCTTAAAGGCTGAGAAGGGCCCTCCAGGTGAAGGGGACACAAGATACAAAGCAGGAAGGAATGAGCAATTAAAAACTTCAAAACAGGCAAGGGCCTGTGGGCAAGGACGCTGGAGATGAGATGGGCGAGGAAAGAAGAATACTGGTGGGCTGTATTCTGCTCTGCTGCCAGAGCTACAGGAAGAGCAGTCCCCAAGAGGCACAGTGACTGGTGGCATCAAGAAACCGGAAAGAAGGTAGTCTACTTGTGGAGCCCGTTGGGTCCAGGCACTGCACAACGGAGGGCCACTGGACTTGCAGACATGGTTAGAATCTTAGAGCCCACCTTTTATTCGCAAAGGATAAAATCATACAGAACAGATCCCAGGGAACTGTGGCCACTCACCCTGGGTTTCATTTTGAACCCACACATTGATAGAGTCACAGGCAGAGGCTGGGTCCTCGAAGTTCACATTCCAGACTTCACTCTGAAACACATCCTTGTTCCTCGTCACAAAAGGCACTTCAATTTTAGAGCTATTCTTCACAAACACTGCATTAGCCACTGTCACAGTATCTTTATTCTTCTTGGAGACGATGGCCTTGTTGATCTTCTTCAATACTTTGCCAACTCCTAAAGGAGAAATGAGAAATGCGGCAATGTTTCCGTAAGGATTTAGAGAAAGTTATTTAAAAAAAAAACTTTTTCTATCTTGGCAAATAAGAACAGTATAAACAAGAAGAGTTATCAGTAAACACGAGACTAAGTCTTTTGCTTTCTCAGTGGCCTTGAGTTAGGAAAAGAGGAGGTAAAATAAAGTATAAAATCAAAGCATATTAATAGTTCTTAAAAGTCAACGATGTTTCTAGCATCAAAACAGATTCAAGGCATTCTCAGCACCTTCCCAATAGAGACCTTGTCCTTGTAGACTTTTTGGGTACCCGGTCAGTAGGGAGACTGGCAGGTTTCTTAATTATGTAGCCATGGGGAGTAAATAAATGGGATCTTCTTCATTCATTCTTTCTTTCTTTCTTTCTTAACAGTCTTAACTGCTTTTTCCTTTCCTGCCAAAGACTTAAGAATGTGATTTCTTTTTTCTATTTTGGAAAAAAAATGAATAAGTATTAGAAGGACTATGAAAAATTGCCATGTGATTTTTTACTTGATATCAAGCTCAAAAAATAAGGGGATTAATGTGATGGCAACATAAGCTTTATTTTACACGGACCATTCATCATGCTCCATTTAGTTTTAGAACATAGAAAAAAAGGAAAAGAAGTTGTAGGGATAAAATGTGTTTCTATAAAGAGCTTCAAGTACAGATCCTTGGGTTACTTGGATCCTTGGGGTCCTTTCAAAATCATACTGTCCTAAAACATCCTGCAGAAGAGACCTGATGGTCTCCTAGAGAGCTGGCTTGTCACCCTGTGAGTGCCTCTTGTTCAGACCCCTTCACTAAGGGCAGGATAAGTCTTCCACGGTCCACAGAGAGGCAACGCCTAGGCCCTTTGCAGACCTCTGACTCCACCCTTCACACTGTTCTGCTGGGCAGGCTGGGTAAGATGGGCAGGCCCATTTTAGAACTAAGGGAACAGCAGGCTTCGGAGTCCAGGTCCCAGCTCCTGTCCCTTGTAGCCACACTGCCTCCTCTAGTCTCCTGGTCTGCCAGGAAAAGCTTGGGGCAGATCTTCCTCCACAGCCCCAAGCCAGCCTGCCTCCATCCCTGCCAGGAGCATGCTGTTGTGAGTTCTCCAAGGCTGAGCCCCAACCAGGAACGGAAAAACCCCTCCAGCTCCCCAGGATGAGTCTGTCATGAGCCTGAGGTCACAATCCACAGCACAACTTCTAATTATTTTGGAGGAAGAAAGTGTCAGGGTGGGAGGAAGTCACCAACAGAAAAATATTGCCAAAACTAAACACTTAAAATGAATGTGGCTCCTGGGCAGGAGGTAATGGCTTGGTGATATGGGTGAATGTTGATCGCTGTGTTGTATATTTGAAACCATCATAAGATTGTGCATCAATGATACTTTAATAAAAAAAAATGAATGTGGCTCATTTAGCATTAAAACAACAAAAATCCAGTTGCTATTGTGGAATTGTACTGGCTGGGGCCAGTGTGGCACTGGAAAAGGCCATCATTCTAGCAGTGGTTCATTATGAAGTTATAAATCACCAAGCATTTTCTGAACTTGCAGGCAAGGGGTAGAACACTGTGTTCCAAGTATTTATTTAGTCCTACACTTCCAACAGTCAAACAAACTGCAAATTCATGCAAAAGTTTAAGGCCAGGTAAACAGGCAGTTGGTGCTGGCAGCTCTACAGGGGACACTGCGAACACAGTCAGTGCAGGGCACAGAGAAAATGTGATGGGTGTGCAGCCCTGCCCACTCATCTCCCTCTCCCAGCTGAAGGCATCAGTGAAGTTAGGCTTCCTAGAACTTTACGGTTAGCACGAGTGGAAGAATGTGGACAAGAAAACTCCTTAATTTTCCAATAAGGTGACTAAGACCTGCATAGGAACATGCTTTGCTCAAGGTCACAATCCACACGGGTGCCTAAAAGGGGCTCCAAAGCCAGTTCTGCGCCCTCACACAAGGCCCCTCAGAGAGAGGCAGGTGAAAGGTGCCACGTCTACTGGGAGTGAGAAGCCTGAACTAGAGTTGATCAACAGTGCTGGAGACAGAAACTCTTAGGTTTAAATACATCATTACAAACACGGTTTTCTTTCAAGAAAATTAACTTTTCCAATGGGCATTACTCTAAAAAAATTTTTTTTAGCTTTTTATTTTGAAATAATGCTAGATTCACATGAAGTTGCAGAACAGTATACAAGGTGGGCCCATGTGTCTTTCATCGTTTCCCCAATGGTAATATCGTACGTGCCCACTGTACAGTAACACAGCCTGGAAAGTGCCACTGGTGAGTCCACTGGGCTCATTCAGAATGCACCAGTTCTCATGCCCCTGCGTACATGCGCACATAGCTCTATGTACTTTTATCCCTTGTAGGTCCACGTGTCCAGCACCACAGACAAAATACAGAACGGTTTCACCACCACAAGCTTCCTCCGTGGTGCCTCCATGGCTACACCCAGTCACCTCCCCAGTTTACAGGCTTTAAAAGTCCATTCACAATCATAATGCATGTTCAGCCCTGTACAACATGCTGGTGGGGCAGACAGGAAGTTTGCTTTTTAGAGATGAGAAACCTGGGGCATTGAGAGATGAAGTGACTAAACCCCAAACCCCACAGCTACAGAACAGAGACAGGAATCCAGCTCTCCTAATGTCCAGCACTGCAACACCAGTCCTTAGAGGAGGCCGGCTCTCACCCCCAGGTGGCACCAGGGAAACTCCCCCTGGCTGCTCTGCTTCTCAGGGAGGTAAGCAAAGACCCAAAGAGGCCCCTCCGTGATGCAGGGCTCCTGTGAGGCCCCACGGGCAGGGCCCAGCGTGCACGCACCATTCACGCCGTATCTCATCACCGTGGTGAGCTGCTTCTTTGTCCTGCCGTCGGCACCCAGCTGGAGCATCCCCAGGATGGATGCAATCCCGTGGGGGGAGACGACAATGTTGTCATGAGGCCGGGATTTGACGATCTGATTGAAAACCTGGATCCCTGTGTCAGAGCCTAGCTGCTCCAGGGACAGAGGATTGAACTGGGTGCACACAGAGGGCAAAGTCACTGTGGCCACGAGGAAGAAGGGCAAATGCCAATTCATGGTTCCTTCCCACACGGATGACCTGAAAAATTAGATCAAGAAATACATGAACTCCATTTGAATGAACATATTTTATACTCAAGTAAGTATGATTTATTGTGTTCAGTATAATTGAATGCCTTATTAATATATTTAAGACAGACCAGTGTAGAGTAAATCTGCTTTCTCTGTATCTTCTTAGCGGGATGGGGAGGAAGAGAGAGGGAACCTCCTCTTGGTAGGTCCCAACCATGTGCCAGACACTGATCTCACCATTATTTCTTTCTCACATCCACCCTTCATTCAGTTTAACAAGATCCCCGCCTGCCTGCAGTTTATATTCTATTAACTGGTAAGCAATATAGTAGTAATTTTGGCGAGGGATGGGGGCCAGTGATGTGGGCAAATGAAGGACCAGGGGTGGGGTGGGGTTAACACGTGAAGGGGTCACCACCTGATCAGCCACGTGATGAGACCTGAATAATGACAAAGAGTGGCTGTGTACTGATGGGGGTGGGGGGCAGGGCAAGCCAGGCAGAAGACAGCAGGGAAACAGCCCTGGGGCAGGATACCTGGTATTAGAGGTCTGCATGGTCGCCAAGTAAGGCACGTGGAGGACTCAGTTGGGAGGGCAGGTGAAGAGGCCAGAGAGGCCAGATCCAGTAGGGCCAGTAGAGCTCTGAGCATGGCTTTTAGATTTCATTGGAAGGGTCACAAGAAACCACTATAGGGCTTTAAAGAAGAGAGTGAATCCATCAGGTTGTTATGATTACCTTATGGCCATATGTACTCCACTTTTTACCATATGCACATTACCTTCTTAATTAAAGAACTGCTAATTAAAATAAATTTAAGTGATGCTCTTAAATCTACAATAGGGCAGAACAATTGGTAAATTCATCAAATTGCGAGAATGGCATTGTTTACGCTGATATTCTCAATTACAGTGATTTGTTTGAAATACGCTTTCTTCCTTGATTATCACTTACTGAGCTTTCTTCAGCTGTGACAAGCACGAGGTAGGGAATTTACATGTGTTTATGGAAAAGCAAATAGTTTCATTAAATAAGGGCTTAAAAGTGGCAGCTGGTAAAACAAAAGCAGAATTCGTAATGTGGCTAACATGGTTCCATCCTCCTTTCTAGACCTGAGCTCTGCTCAGCCCACGTTCCCTGTGGAGCCAGTCCGTCCTCTTGTCCTGTGCATTTATGTGTGGGGGGCTGGGACTGTCTGCAGAAAACAAGAAAGAGGGGAGCTTTTTAGGAGACAGGGGTCTGCAGAGGAGGAAATAACACTCCTGTGCTCCAGGGAGAGACAGGGCACCAGGTAGCATTAGGCCAAACCGGCACCGATGTTTCCTCACCCTCCGCACTAGGCACTTGTCCCCCTTACCACTGCCCCACGTCATGGTAGATGTTCAATACATATGTATAGGATTAAACCTGATGATTTATCTACTTTTTATTTGTATATTTTTCATTGCATCAAAATAATGTTTATTAAGCTTGACTAAGAAAATGATTTTGTGTAGTCCTGAGCCTCACTGTTGGCTTCAAATGCTTTCCAAAGAGAGGAAAATTCACTGGGCTGGGAAGAGGATGGTTCATGATGGCAGAATCCCCACCTGTCCCACTCCCCAGAGGGCCACAAGGTGAACCACTAAAGTTAGCATTCAAGATGATGTTGCAATTTTCTTATGTACAGTTGACTCTTGAATGACAGAGGGGTTAGAGGGACTGACTGACCCCTCCACCACTGTATTTGGAAATCCAAATATAACTTCTGACTTTCCTAAAACTTAACTACTAATAGCCTATGGCTGACTGGAGGCCGTGCCAATAACATAATCAATCAAGTAACACATATTTTATACATTGTATGTGTTATATACTGTCTTCTTACAATAGAGTAAGCTAGAGAGAAGAAAATGTGTTTTCAAATGATTGCAAATCTCCAAAATTTTTTTCCAGTATTGTTTATTGAAAAATATAAGTGGACTCAGAGTTCAAGCCCGTGTTGTTCAAAGGTCAACTATATTGTGAAACAAGCAAATTTTATAAAATTTAGAACATTCAGTTTCTCCAGAGCTTAATTGTAAAATAACTGTGTAAACACAGATTGTCTAAATTCAAAATCTGTAAGTGACCTACATTCGCTCCTCTTTGGGGTTTTCCTATGGCCAGCGGGGCCTATTTTGACTCTGGCACCTACAACTGGCTCTAATACCACAACCATCCCCTGAGTTTCTTTTAGCTTGTTGGATGCTGGAAAGAGTCCAAATCCTGACTATGGAAGCTTTACTACTCATTTTATCTAAAAATTAGGAATTGTATCCTGCTGTCCTCCCTTTTTCCTGTAAATAAATTTCCTATTTAAAATTTAAAATGCCACAAAGCCATCATAAGTATAAAACAATTTGTACAATCTTTGTACAAATGGTCAAATTCGATGACTAGCGTCAACTTCATCCATCTGAATTGTTGACACTTGCATTACAGTCTATTCTGGAGTTTCCTTCATCACACCATCGTCTATACTCCCCAAGCCTCCCAAAGAAACCCTCTCGGATTAGCAAATATTTGAATAAATATTTGAATCTGCACACTCATAAAGGACATCAAATTGCTTTTGCCTCTGATAGCTTAAAGCTGATTCACCCAAACGTTGTAGATTTATGTAGATGGTAAAACAGGTAGAAAAGATCAGTAACAGAGAAATTAAACAGCTCCAATGTCTTGGAGTCAGCAAAGATAGTCTCCCAAATAAACAGCCATCCCATTTAGTAGAATTTGCTTGGGTTATGCATTTTTGCTAAAAGAACCGTTTTATTATTGAAGTGGGGGATGACTGCCACGGGTGTTTTTCTTGGTTTCTGGGATTTGGGAAGTTCTTGAAGGGATGTCTATGTGCAGTTTCATAACAGTGCATTGGGACAGTGTCAGAACTATGCAGAACTTGGAATCAGAGCTATGTTTGATTGATGTTTGGGCATAACTTACTTTTGGCCTCAGTTTTCTAGGCTCAATGGTCACTCGTTTAAACTTACCTGGCTTATGTACATGTCCAAAACTTACTTTCACTTCTCTCCAAAGTTCAGTAGCTAGAAGAGTGGGTACTGATCCATAAATTACTTTAGGCTTATAAAATTCCTAATACTGATACATATTCAGGTCCTAATAGACAGTCTATTACATGAAATAACTGTTGGAGTTATCAGGCTTTGAAATGCTTACTCTCTAGAGCTAGCAGTTCTCATTATAAAAAAGGACATAGCAACCTCCTACTTAATTTTAAGAGAAATTACACTTTCAACTTTCAAATAAGAGAGAAAAAATAAAGATGTTGCCCAAGTGTATTTCATAGCATCAGTATGGAAGATCATACATCTGTTAAATGTTTCTATTTCCTGAATCATCTTTTCATAACAGTAAAAACACGTCTCTAAGCCATAATGGAAGGGAGATCATAAACCTATAACTAAAGCCATCACCATAGACATAGCCTTCCAAATGTGGGTTTCTCTTTCCCCATGTCCTTCTTGTATCTCTTACTCCAAACCTTTCCCTTCCAGTGCGGGGAACGTTTCTGAAATAATTCAGTACTCCTTTGAGCTTTAAGTGAGACTTAGTGTAGTGAATAATGGGTTGGTAGTTTCACAAATGCCAGACTCAGAGCATATCCCTACATTTATGAATGTATCGCTCGCCAGCAGCAGACAATAGGAAAAAACACTGTGGCCCCATGACTTCTAAACAAATGATCCTCAAACCCGCTGCTGAATTTCAGGGCCTTGGGTTTAGCCATTTGCTGTCTGTTTTCACCTGATTGTTCAGAATAGGCTTCGGAGGGCCATGAGCCTGTGGAACCCACCGACTCTCCTCTGAAAGGGTTGAATTTTCTGTCACTAGGCCTCGCTCTTGCCCGTCCCATGCCCTCTCCCTTACCCTCCCCTGGTGACTGCCGTGGCTTCTTCCAAATCTTTCCAGGCCTGTGGGAAGTTTTCCCTGATGGTTCCAGGGGGGCTATTCGTGCCCTTCTCTTGAGTTCCCACAGCATATCCTATATGCACCTATCCTTTCGTTTTTTCAAGTATGTGCTCCCCACTAGACTGGAAGCTTGCAGAACTCAAGTCCATGGCACTTTAGAATCTGAGTGCCCACAGGGTCTTCTCTGGGGCCCTCCCTTTGGGGGACACTAAAGCAGAGGTTGACCCATGGGACTGATTCAGCTGCTCAAGTGTTTGGTTTGGAGTACAAGGTGTTCTAAAAATATTTTAAGTGACTAGAAATTAGAAGATGTCACATACAATCTAGATTTATTCTTGGGAGAAAAGAAAACGGATAGGAGTGCTGGTAACACAGAGCCCTCATTCCCAGGGCAAGCACTCTGCACGGCAACCAGCCCTCAGGGCTGGGTGTGTGCCTCTCCACTGCACAGCTCCTGCTGCGCCAGGCTGCCTCAGACCAGCGGCTGCCATCACTTACCCTACTCTTCCAGGCTGAACGCACTTGGGGCCAGACTCCTGCACTGGACAGATGCTGATCAATGACACAATGGGACGCTAGGATAGCTGATCACAAAAGGTGAAGCCTATTTTCAACCTAGGAAGTTCTTTTTTACAAAACAGAATATATTTTACAGCTAACACATGAATAAATGATAAGTAATATGCTGTCAGCTCAAATGATAAATAGTACAATATCTGTTGACTCCATTTAGTATAACAAATCAGATGTATGTACACAGTTTTGGGGGAAAACACTGGAATGGACCTCTGCCTCCACTCTTAGCCACGTCTGTTGACTCTGGGGGCCCCAATTGTGTCTAACAAATGGAAGGTATACTCCGTCTCTCTTCATTCTCTACAAAATGTTAAAGTGATATATTTTCTAAAATGTGTGTATTTTAAAAATCTTTATGTCATGAAAGATACCAAACAGATGAAAATATAAAATGAACACTGAGTACCCAACATCCATGTCAAATAATTATCAACTCGTGGCTTACTTCTTCTAAAATCAGATTGTTTTGAAGCAAATTCTA